TCTGTTAACAGATTTCTAGGTTGATGCCATGGTAGTCTGGGAGCATATTTTGTATTACTTCTCTGCTTTCAAATTTGTTAAGGTATGTTTTATGTTCCAGAATGTGGGCTGTCTTGGTGAAAGTTCCATGCGAATTTGAGAAGAATGTATATTCTGTTGCTGGTTGAAGTATTTTGTTTTTCAGTTAAGTCTCATTGTGTGATGGTTTTGTTCATTTCGACTGTGTCCTTCCTGATTTCTGCCGGCTCCATCTCCTAATACTGACAGAGGGGTGTTGAAGTCTCCAACTATACTAGTTGGTCATGTATTTCTCCTTGCAGTTTTATCAGTTTTGCCTCATTATTTTGCCACTATGTTTTTATGCACACACACACCAAGGATTGCCTTGTCTGTCTTTGTGGTGAATTGATCATTTAATCATTATGCAATTCCCCTCTATCACTGAGATTTTCACGCGAGGAAGTCAGCTTTGTCTGAAGTTAATATAGCCATGTGAGCTTTCTTTTTATTATTGTTAGCATGGTATATCTTTATCTTTCTTCATGCCTTTCTTTTTAATGTATCTGTTTCTGTATATTTAATGTGAGTTTCTTTTTGAGAATAGGTATTAGGTGTTATTTTTATCCACTATGACAGTATGTGTCTTACAATTGTTATATGTAGACCATTAATGCTTAATGTGATTATTGATTTAGTTGGGTTAATATCTACCTTTTTACTGTTTACTTGTTCTTTCTTTCCCATCCTTCCATTCTTTTTCTACCTTCTCTGTTTTTATTAAGCATTTTTACCTGATTCCATTTTTTCTCTCCTCTAGCATATCAATTACAGTTTGGTGTTGGGTTTTTCTTTAACAGTTTTAGTGATTGCCTTTGAGTTTGCAGTATACATTTACAACTAACCCAAGTCTTCTTGTGAGTAACCCTACACTCCTTCACTGGTTTTACAAGTACCTGATGTAAACATTCCCAGTTCTTCCCTACCTGTCTTTTGTAACATTGCTGCCATACATATCACTTATCCATAAACTGTAATTACCAAATACATTGTTGCTGTTAGTATTTTAAACAAACTCTCATCTGTCAGATTAAGAATAATAAAAACAAATTTTATTTTAACTTTATTTCTTCTCTAAAGCTCTACTTTTCTTTATCATTTTTCTTCTTTGTGAGGAATTTGTTCTAACAGATCTTTCAAGGCAGGTACACTGATGATAAATTTCTTTTTTTTTTTTTTTTGTCTGAGAAAGCCTGTATTTTTCTTTGCTTTTGAAGGAATGTTTTTCTCCATACAGAATTCTACATAGGTGGTATTTTTTTCTCATAATGTTTTAAATATTTTACTCCAGTTTCTTCTTGCTTGTGAAGTTTCTGAAAAGAGTCTAATTTAATTCT